CATGAAACCCTAGCTGCCCTGGCCCTGCCTACCTCAGCAGCTGCTCAGTCACTGCCTCTCTTGCAGATGTCTTGCCTCAGAAAGCTACCTCCCCCTTCTTGCTTATTCTGCAAAATAAAAAAAAACTGTGCCTGGGTACAAGAAGCTATAAAGTATGTGATAACTAAGGAGCACATCAGGTGGCCAGGAGGGAAGCCTGGATGGACATAAATCCTTCTCCACAGTACATGCTGTAAGCCAGGGACTCCCTCAGCCTTACCAGCAGTTTTGGAACACTGCCACCTCCCTCCACCCCCTAAAAATAAAATAGGTTTTTCCGATTGAGCATGTCAAAAGTCTCTTTTGAGTAGCTGCTGGCTTTCTCTAAGGTATTATTACTTTCTACATTAGTAAGAGCTGCTTTAATTATGTCAAGGATATTAACAAGATGATTATTTTAACAATATAATAGCAAGGCGTCCTTGCCCTGCTAGTTGTAGTATGAGCCATGGACAGTAGGGGTTGATGGGCTGGCTAAAATCCACCTGAAGAGACTGTATTAAAATAATCTGTTTCAGTGTCATCTCTGCTCCTAGATAGCAGGAACCACAATCTACTTCATCTTGGCATCCCCATTGCCTTTCAGGGTGCATCCCAGCCCAGAAGGGGTTCTCAGGGACTACCTGCTGGATTGAACTCCAGCTGAGCCACATAATACTGCCCACCCCCTACCCTGCCCCATGCCTCACCCATGAGGTTTAAGAAACAAAGAAGCAGGCTGCACAGATGCTAAAGCCAGGAGAGGTTGGGGAGAGACAGGAAGGAGATACCTTTGCAGAGGCCCAATCCACCCCAACCTTAGGAAAGGCTATTTTGTAATACAAATGATTGCTATAATTTATTAATTGCTTATTATGTGGTAGATGCATTACTAAGTGTTTCACTTCTAATCCTTAACAACTCTTTGAGGTAAGAAAACCTTTTCAGAGAATGACTCTGGATTCAGACTACCTGGGTTCAAAATCCCAGCTCTGCCATGCATCAGCTGTATGATTTTAGGTAAATATTTTAACCTCTCTGTGCCTAGTTTTCTCATTTGTAAAATGGGAATAATATTATAGTACCTTTCCCGTGAGGTTGTTATCAGAATTCAATGAGATAACGTATCAGCAAGCACTCAGAAATTTTCTAAATGACAATGGTATTAACTACTATTGCCCCCATTTAATAGATGACTCCAAATATCATACTCTTAACATTGTATAAGGTAGATAGAGAGACCACTTCATCAATGAAGCAGGACTGGAACCAATTTTTGATTTGGTGATGGAAGCTGGGGCCAGCAGTTTTCTGAGTACAAGTGTGCTGATGTGATGCCCCTGATGGAAACTCTTCAGGAAAGCCTTTGTTTCCCACCCCCTTTCCAGTCACTGAGGTAATTACCTGACCCCTGGTCCTTCAACTGTTTGGAAACATTTGGTGGCCATTAAGCCTGTTATTTCCTCATTTTCCTGCTTACTGGAATAAATACACACCAAAACAGTAAGCTTAATGCTATAATAATACTCTCTGATTAGTGGTTTGCAGAATCCTCTGTAATTTTAGGATTTGCTGGCTAAAAAAGGAAGAATGGTAGAGTGTAAATAATGGCATGGCACAAGAAGGAGTCAGGCACCCTGAGATTTAGACTGGGTTCTGCCATGGGCTAGCTCTGTAAACTTGGTTTCAGACCTTACGTGTCTCATTTAGAAAGTGGAAGAACTGAGGCCAGGTGCCATGGCTTGCACCTGTAATCCCAGCAATTTGGGGGGTCAAGGTGGGAGGACCGTTTGTGCCCAGGAGTTTGAGATCGGCCTGGATAACATAGCGAGACCCTGTCTCTACAAAAAATTTAAAAATTAGTTGGTGTGGTAGCATGTGCCTGTAGTCCCATCTACTCAGGAGGCTGAGGCAGGAGGATCACTTGAGCCCAGGAGTTCAAAGTTACAGTGAACTATGATGGGGCCACTGCACTCTAGCCTGGGCAACATAGTGAGACCCTGTCTAAAAAACAAACAAACAAGAAAATGGAAAAACTGGACCAGATTAGGGTTGTAGGAACTCTTTTGTGGAAGACCAATATTCCTCAAGATGTTAATGAGAGTTCCTCATAAAAGGGGCTCCAGGCCTGGCGCGGTGGCTCACGCCTGTAATCCTAGCTCTCTGGGAGGCCGAGGCGGGTGGATTGTTTGAGCGCAGGAGTTCGAGACCAGCCTGAGCAAGAGCCGAGACCCCGTCTATACTAATAGAAAGAAATTAATTGGACAACTAAAAAAAGACATAGAAAAAAAATTAGCCGGGCATGGTGGCACATGCCTGTAGTCGCTGAGGCAGAAGGATTGCTTGAGCCCAGGAGTTTGAGGTTGCTGTGAGCTAGGATGACACCACGGCACTCTAGCCCGGGCAACACAGTGAGACTCTGATTCAAAAAAAAGGGGGGGGGCGGGCTCCAAGGTCAAATAAGAATAGAAAATTTGGCATATTCCACAACCAGCCCCTCTCAAGAGTCACATGCACAGACAGTAAGGCTCTGAGAAGTCAGCAGTAAAGAAACGTACTTAGCATTATTCAATCTGACATTTCCCAAATTATTAAATCTCTTCTGAGAAAGACACAGTTTGAGGGAGACACACTGGGACAGATCTCTAGAGTCCCTATCAGCTCTAATCTACTGTGATTTGCATCAGAAGTACTTAGCCAGTGCCTGGAGCACCCTGCTTCCCTCTTATGTACTTCTCTTAACCCAGTGAGGCACTTAAATGATACTCTGGGTTAATGGAATTTATTATATGTAGTTCATTTTACCATAGTGAGAGTACCAATTTTCAAAGACTCAGAATATAACACACTTAAAACACTGAAATGGGAAACCTGCAGTTACTGAGCTCCTAATACTTGCTCTGCACTGTGCCAGCATTTTCGATATATTATATCATTTAATCCTTATACAACCATAAAAGGTAGATATTGTTATCCTCATGTTACAGAGAAGGAAACTGAGGCTCAGAGACGGTAAGTAACTTGCCCAAGGTCACACAATCTGGTGGTGAGCACCAGATTTCAAATCTAGGACCATTTGTCTCCCAACTCTTGGTTCTATTTTGGGTTCTGCCACCATAATTATCAGATGGTCCCTAACCCTCCTTGGGCCTTAGTCTCCTACACTGTCAAGTGGGAAGAGTAATCCTTACACTGCTTCCTTCACAAAGTTGCTCAAAGGCAGTAACGGGTATGAAAGGGCTCTGTAATGTATAAATGTATGATTATTAGGAGCATTTGAAACATCATGAATAAATGTTGTTATTTCTGTTCATGGTTTCGAAGGTGCTCGAGGTTCTTGCAGAGTTCCCAGTCATCACCGCCCCCTTCCCCCGATAGTGCTCCTTAAAATTTTCCAGTTAGGATTTTGGATAAACAGGAAACACATCAATTTCTCTCAGTATTAATTACTCTTTAGGAGTCACATTAAGTTGCCAATCTGCTTCTTAAGGAGTCAGGAGTAAAAACAGCAGAGTGAGTGGGAACCCAGTAGCCAGGAGTTTCTAGATAGAGGAGATGCCAGATTGGCTGTGGGGCTAGACTCCTTAACCTCATCTTGGAACATGCCTATGAAGCAGGGCCAAAGGGTCATCTGGACAGCGGATCCTAGCAGCCTCTGTATGAGATCTGTCCAGGAAACTAAGACGAGTATATGGGGTGGTGACAGGGGGAAGGTGCAAAGGCAGGTGACTGGAGATGAGAGATGGGAAATGGGACTGGCTTAGCTAGCTTCACTTTGCTTTGGGATGGAGACTACCTTGGCAGGGGCCTAGGCACAGAAAATAGCAGTGGTTGGATGCAGGGCTCTCAAATCACCCTCTAGCCCTGCCTGGGATCACATCCTCGTGACTCATATTGCTGTAGCCATCTGCTCTCTCCAGCTTCTGGCAGACTAAGACCAAAACAACAGCAAAGCATTTTTGGATCTAGGCTCTGGCTGGAGACAAAAAAGTAAATAACACAAGTCCCTGCTCTTAAGTAAGGCACTGCACCAAGATGGTCTGAGCCTAACTAGAGGCTCTTTTGCATAGCAAAGTCCCTGGCACATGGAGTATACTCAAGAATTGTTTAAACTGAATTGAATCTAAGGAGCCTACATTCTGTGACTTGAGAGTACCTGTTTGGTGTCAGGAGTCCTAGATTTCAATCCTGGTTCTGGCATGAATAATTCAGTAACTGGACCTCAGTTTACCCATCTACAAAGTTGCTATGAGTAGCCAGTGAGATAATGGCCAAGACAGTGCTCTGTAAATGGCAGGAGCTGATGGGAGCTCTGGGGCACATGGTCTTAAAAGTTCAGAGTCCAGCCTGGGGAAGACCTAAAATAAGCTCCCTTTCTTTCTCCCCAGCCAGTATAGGTCTGCTTTTCACACACAGTAGACATTCTTTGCATTTCTAGTGACTCTGAAAGAGGGAGGAAGGAAACAATTTGCCACTCAAGTAGGGAACAGAAAGAAAGGTTGCCATCTTTCTACTTTTCAAACTTTGTTCAATCCACCGCACTGCAAACTAGAACACAGGATTTGGATTTATAATCCTAACTTTTGTTAATCAAAAGCTATAAAACCATGAACAAGCCTAAACCTCTCTGACTTCTAGTTTCCTCCTCTGTTAACTAGGGAGAAATTTGCTAAGTCATCAGATTATAGTTAAGATTCAGTGAATTAACGTGAAAAGTGTTTTGTAACCCACAAAATGCCAAACAAATACCAGTCATTACAAAGTTGTCTTCCCATCAGCTTATGAGCTACGCTGGACAGTGGCTATTTACCACCTGACAGGTGAGATCATCAAAGCCCAGAGAAAATGCTGAAAATAACACACAGCTCAACTCTGACTTCCTCCAGCAGAGGTAACTGTTCCTTTCATTTATTACAGGGGTTATCAGTCTGCTTGCCTCATTAAACTGACCAATCTCACCTCTTAGGGAGGTGACTACATACCTCTTACGTACTTTTGTACCCCGATGCCCAGCATGGCACACCTAAAAAATGTGAAATAAATGTTACCGGAATGATGATTAACATACTGGAAGCAGAAACACATCTAAAACCCAGGACTCCTAATCCCAGGTCCAAGGTTTATAACCATAAAGTAGCCCAAACTCCACAGATTTTACCTGCCTCAATTTCTCAACTCTTCCTCAATTCCTCCACTCTAGCAAGACTCAACTTTCCCTTCTGAGTCTCTGGCCTTTGTAGGCACTGGTTCCCCAGCCTTAACATTCTTCACCTACCTCTTTGCTGGGCTAATACCTGCTCAGCCCTCAGACTTGGAGACCTTTCCAATCTACCCTAATACTGGGTCAGGTATTTACTCCTCCCACATGTCTGTTTTGTTTATCACAGAATCCTGGCACACAGTATCAAAAATATCTGTTGAAGGCTGAATTAATGAAATACTGGGTCTAGAAATCCAAAAGTGATGCAGGGGAAATAATCCCGTCCCAGAAGTCAGGCTGCCTGCCTGATTCTAATTCTAGCTCTACCACTAATGGGCTTGGTGATCTTGGGCAAGCACCAGTTCTTTGGACCATTCATAAATGAGCTTCATCTATGAATAATCTCAGAAGGTCCTTCTAGTGTTAACAGTATATGAGACTTAGACTCATTCAAAATCCTAGGGGTGAAGAGCTTTTGAAGCCAGCTGTATGCTCCATAGTACAGAAGGCTCAACACCACCATCCCCCCGCAGTACCTGGCACATAGGACTCTGCTGTCAGCAGCCTCCCAGCCCATTGGTTTACTTAATTCCTCCTGATGAAGTGCCAAGAATAAATCGTAGGTGAGCAGCAGAGCATTTTAATGAGTCCAGAGCCTAATGTTCTTTTCCTTCCTCTGTCAATTAGAATTTCAAAGCTAGGATCCCCAAGGACCAATTTATTGGGAACAGAGAGGAGCTTTTTGTTCATCAGCTGCTGCCTGAGATACCTGCCCTGCCCCTGTGTATCTGCCATGTAACAATCCTGCTTACTCAGATGTAACACCTAGTAGGGTAGAGCCTGGCCAGGGAGGCTCCATCTTGCCCAACATTTTTGGAGCCTGCATTTGAGGAAGGAAAGGAGGGGTCCAGGGCATTTCTGAGGGTGGGGGTAGGGTTGGTCAGGGAATCAGAGCAGCCCTGACTTTATTGCTGTCTCCTAGGGATACTAGTCTTCAAATAGCTAATAGTAACAGATCAACTTGCCATTTCCCCAGCTGAGTATCAAGTATTGTACGACATCTATTTACCTTATTCTGAATCCTCACAACCTCAAAAATAGGTATCAACAGCACTATTTTACAGAAAGGGAAACGGGCTCTGAGAGGAAAAGTACGAATTAGCCTAAGGAACACAATTAGTAATTGGCAGGCAGGGATTTGAACTCAGGTCTATGCAATTCTAAACACTAGGCTCTTTCTATCAAACCATAACAGCCTTGTCCAGGGGCCAGCAGATGGTCCTGAATGGCAGACATGGCCTGTGGGCAGACACAGTCATGTTAGACACTTGCCACCAACACACTATGTTTTGCCCAGGCACAAGCAAGGGTGGCTGTACATTGCTGGTCCTGCCATTCAACAGAGTTGGCAATCATCCATCCCTAAAAGATAATCCAAGTAGAGTCACCATGAACACTACCCCCAGCTTCTACCCCAGAAATCTTTTGATGTATTTGGTTTGTGAAGAATTTCCAATCCTTGATCTGATGGCTCGCACACACCCAGTTCTCTGCCTCCTGTACTGTCTTAAGTCACACAGGGTCAGCTGGGTTACTACTGCTTTATCAAACAGAGACACATTTTCCAAGGTGAGCATATAAGCAAGTCGGGTTTCCAAATGGTTACAGGGTTGAGTTTTAGTGCTCTGGTGGGAAAAATACCTAAAAGTGAGGTCAAGAGGCTTGTCTAAGTTTACACAGCTAGAAAATCAAACAGCAACAACTAGAACACAGGTATATACTGAATTCTAACCTGGCTTCTATCTACATACAACAAGAATAACACAAATATATAAAAAATAAGACCAATGCTTTTAAAACTTTTTTAACTTTATATTTTGAGACAATTATAGATTCACTTGCAGTGCTAACTGCTTTTTCGGTTGGTTTGTTTTGGAGACAGAGTCTTACTCTGTTGTCCAGGCTGGAGTACAGTGGCACAATCATAGCTCACTGCAGCCTTGAACTCCCGGGCTCAAGCAATCCTCCTGTCTCAGCCTCCCAAGTAGCTAGGACTATAGGTATATGCCACCACACTCAGCTAACTTTATTTTTTGTAGAAACAGGGTCTCACTATGTTGCCCAGGCTGGTCTTGAACTCCTGGCCTCCAGCAATCCTCCTGCCTCGGCCTCCCAAAATGGTAGAATTACAAGCATAAGCCACCATGCCCAGCCCTAAGTGCGTTTTAAAAGCACTGGACAATTAACATAGTGCCTGGCACATAGAAACCCTCCTATGAAATGATAGCTATTAGACAATTAGGAAAAAGGGAGAGGGCTTTCAGGAGGGGCATTTAAGGAGAAGTAAATCCAAGTTTCTCTTTACAGAATGCTTAAAGTGTGTATACATACAATACCTTAAATAATCCTTCCAATGACCCCATGAAGCAGTTAATAACAGCCCCATTTATAGATGAGAAAACTGCTCACAGAAGTAACTTGTCCAAGATTACTGTGGCCCCAATATGTGCCAAAGTTGGGATTCGAATCCAAATATATCCAACTCCAAACTTTATCCTCTTCCGCATTGCTTCTCTGGGGCTAAGACTGGTGCTAGGCTTCAAAGACAAGCCTGGATATAGACCGGTGGTTAAGAGCAGGCTGCCAGTTCAGGTGTGGGGGTAGCATGAAAAAGGACGCAGAAGTAGCAACCCACTATCTTTCCAGAGGGTGGTAGTTCAAAGACACTGGCCCAAATAAAACAGTAAATTCAGATGACAAAAACCAAATAAAAAGCTAAAGTAAGGGCAGGAGGCAGAAGGCCCTGGAATGCTAGCTGCTCTTGCCAAATATGTGGGTCACAATTTGACTCCCTTCCACTGGAAACTAAAGAAAGGGAGGCAGCATGTAGAAAACGAAGAGCCAGACATAAGGAGGCAGGAGAACTGGGGAAAGGAACTCAAATTCTGCCAGTAACTATTAATAGATAGGTGGCCTTAGGCAAGTCAATTGCTCTCTCTGGGTTTCTAAAACCAGGGCTTGAACTCAAAGATGTCCAAGGACCTCTCTATCCTTAATTGTCTAGGAATCACTCTATTGCCAGGTCATGTGAGCAAATGTGGGTCTAAGAAATGCTGGAAAAGAGGGCTGAGTGAGGTAGGTGAGAAGGTATTCAATGGGATTCAAGTTAATCTTGGGCAAAAGATAGAAAATGGCAGGGAGCAAAGGAAAGGAGGCTGAACCAGAATGGTACCAATCCTGGCCTTGCTCTTAACTTGCTATGTGGCCCTGGCTACATGCCAGCCTCATTTCCTCATCAGCCAAATGGATCCCAGGGCCCTGTACGGTCTGGCCTCAGCTGCCCACTCTCCAACCTTATCTCCTGCCTCTTTCAGCCACAATGGCTGCCTTCTAGTTACTCTACAAACATGCTCTGCCTCAGGGCCTTTTCACCTGCTCTTTTCTCAGCTAGAAATGATCTTCTTGCTTGTAGAGGCCATCTCTGGCCACTTCATCTTTGCTTGTCTTTCTTCATAACACATATGAAATTATGTAATGATTGATGACTCATTTTCTGTCTCCTCCATTAAAACAAGTTCCATGAAGGTAGTCCTTGTTTTGTTTGTTACTGTATCCCAGCTATAAGAGCAACATCAGGCATTTGTTGAACGGATAACTGAAAAGCTATATGTATAAACTACTGGTCCCTAAGGTCTCTTCCAATGCTGTTACTCTGTACTAACTTATGGGCTTGTGGAACTGGTGAACATCTCAAGTTCCAAGCCCGGGTGAGCTAGGTCTAATTTGTCCATCTGGCTCCAATTTTTGATATTTGCCTTGTCTCAATGGTTCTTCAAATGTAACACACATCCTACCATAGCTATATACATGTACAAATAGGCAAATATATATCGCTTAATTCATGAATCATTATTGTATGCTATGTGTGAAACACAGTATATATATGAGAGCCTGGAACATTGGGTACTTCAGAGTTTGGTCCCAACTTACTTTAGGAACTTTAACCCTTACCACACTCCTATTCCTGAAATCCTTATACTCTGGCTACACTGGACTGTTTTCCCTTCTATGAAACACCTATGTAAGGCTTTGTGCCTTTATCCTCACTGGTCTCTTTGCTGGGAAGCTACAGTCTCCCCTCTGCAATTGCCAAATACCTCATCTTTGAAGTCCAACTCAAGTATCACCTCTTCTGTGAAGCCTTGCTTGATCTCTCAGTTAGTGTTCCTTCCTCCAAGCTCCTAAAGCACTCCACATGCTTCCATTAATAGTGATCACCACTATAGTCTACTTACTTTACCTGCCTGTCCTTCTTAATCAACTGTGGGTTCCAAAGGCTTTAACCATGTGATTGGCTTCTTCTTATCCCTAAGGACGTATTCTTGTGCCTGGCACAAATGTTTATCAAATTGTATCTTAACATGGCTCCAAAACAAAGAATGTTTCCTGACCTTCATTGGCAGACTTGATCAGTAAGTTCTTCCTTCACACTGTCCAAAAGTTGGTTTCCCTAATATTCCTACCTACTATGAACCCTCATGGAACAGAGAGCATGAAGAAAAGGAGACTGGAAAGAAAGTGGAGTGTAGTTTTTGCAGAGCCTTGAATGTCATGCTAAGAAGATTAGATTTATTTTAGAGGTTTCATGAGCAGGGAAGTGATAGGAATTAGATCTGTGCCTTAAAACTAGGGAGAGAGAAAGGAGGTTATATTTCAGGGACCAAGGCTAGACAGAGAGGCAAGTGAACTGATAATTAAAATAGTCCCAGCGACAGATAATTAAGATCTCACCTTGGGTAGTAGCAATGGGGATGGGAAGATGG